ACTCGTTCTATTTTCATTTCAGTTGTCCTGGCTGTAAAATAAGGAGCCTAACGTCTACCCTGATAATTTTAGAAGAACTGTTGGTGTTGTAAGATTCAGATGTGATATGCATTACTCAGCTATTCACTGCTATGGTTATAAGCCTGAGAAAAACAAAGAAGAAAGATTTACAGTGGTACCTCAATTTAAAACTTACCTTGTTTTATGATTTGGGGGAAATTGGCTGTGTTTGTGTTTATGTGGGAAAGACGACTGTGGTCTTGTTCCCCAATGTACACTTTGTGAACAGAAGCAAAATTATGTCCAGTGCTTCTGTTGCGAACTGAATTGTCTGGAAACACATGCATGGTGAACCGAGGCACTGCAGTATTGAGGCTCACGGTTTCAGAGGTTTTGGTTCGTGCCACTGCCTTCGTGTCTGAGTCTGGGGTGAGGCAGAACGTCGTGGTGGAGAGAACTGGCAGAGGACACCCACTCACTTCATGGTAACCCGGAAGCAGAGAAAACGAAACAGAGTAGAGAGAGACGGCCAAGGGTCAAGACACAACCTTCAAAGGCATGTCCTCAGTAGCCTATTTCCCTGAAACGGACCCCACCTAGTACACCGTTCGTGGATGAATTCGGCTGCTATTGATCCACTCATGAGTCTGGTGCCCTCATCCTGTCCTCTCCAAAGCCCACCTCTGAACGTCACTGCATTGGCATTTCAGCACCTAATGTTAGACTTTCTGGGCAGCACTTCTTGTTTCACGCATAGCAAGATGGTACATAAAAGTGTTCTTCAGAAACATAAGTGATACAAGTAAAAATTAGGCTAATATTATAGCATTTGTGATTGTATTTTGCATTTATTTTGTATTCAAAAATTTTTCATACATTGAAGATTGAAGTATATCAGCAAGCTCTTTGCTATGAGAAGATACAAAGTTGTCCCCAACTACATAGGTCATTTAACTTCCTGAATTTCTGTGTCCTCAAATGTAAAGCACAGACACAGCTCAGTGGGAATTTTTACAGATATTTTAGCTACATAAAGGCTATAATTCTATTTACTGTATTAGCAACTGAATTATCGGTTTATGCCACCTAAGTATTTTCTTTTGCAAGAAAATTTAACCACAGTTACTTAAAGAAGCAGAATCGATGTGTGTGTCTATGTGTGGGCGTGCATGCCTGTGTGTCCAGAGAAAGTACAAAACTACATTTGTGGCTTCTTTTTTATTTTGTTTTGAAATAGGTTCTTGCTAAATTGTCCAGACTGGCCTCAAACTTGCAATCCATTTACCTCAGGCTTCCAGTTAGCTAGGATTATGAATATGCACCACCACACTTGGGCTCCACTATCTTGAGGTATATAATTGCAATAGTCTGAATAAGGTAGTAGCTGGCCAGTTAGAATTTAAACAAAATTAAAATTCTACTAAAACTCAAAAAGTGGGTTTTGATATTGAGTCAATAATCCACAATGCTTGCTGCTTCCTCTACATAAAAATTTATCATTTTACATTGATCCATTTGTGTTTTTAATTAAGATTCTTACCAACTCCTACCACATTTTCATGACCTCTGTCAAATAGCATTCCATCTAAGGAACCTCTACCACCACCCAGTCCAAAGCAGGTGATGCTCCACATGGTCTATTAAATGCTTGCGGCCTGTTTTCTATTGCAAGGCCCATTTTGGTATGGATGAAATTAGAGATATTTTTATGTTTATGGCTATCAGTTGATACCTGACAAAAATGCATTAAACTGTGTGTGTGTCTACCTATTCTTATTATCTTTAACGTTATTAATGAGTCATACTTGAACAGTCTTGTTACTAGTATGCAGTCATCAAATGAAATCTAGTTAGCTGTTCAAATCACATTAATTTCTAGTTTTGTCACACATTGCTACCTCCAAGCTACTATCAGTAATCCAGATAAACTGTACTGTAGCTAAAACGCAATTATGCCATTTTCCTGCCTTGACTTAAAAGTATCATGTAGCCATTTATAATATCATTAAAATGATTGTTTATTGAATATCTTTATGTCAAATGTTTAAGCCATAAAAGCCTCAAACAAAACATGCAGATAAACTTACATGCAAACAAAATAGCCAAGTACATTGGAATAATGCAACTTAATTCTTTAAAGACTCCACCATGCCTACTTTCAAATCAAAGGGCAACTCAGTGATGAACTAAATTGAAACCAGAAGTTAAGTGCCTGATTTGTTTACATATGTTATATCATTCACCCTGTGGCAATAGAATGTGAGATATGAGTGCAAGTTTCTAACCATGGTTATGGACAATGTTAAAAAATTTGTAATCCTAATCAATATTTGTTTAGGATGGTAGAATTTGTTGGACTAGATCTCAATGCAATGTCAAGAATTTTTCAATATTCTCTTTAATGAACCTAGAGCAGCCATTTTTAGTAAGAAGTAGAAAATAGCAAGATGAATTAATTTCTGCTGTCCTTTTATGATACTCTAATACCAAATTTCTCTTGGCAGTGTATTTCTCATTTTATTTCAAGAAACTTTCAGGAAGAAACTATTTTCACACAATGTATTATCTTTCAGTAACACACTTAAAGGTCCTAAAAGTTAAGATTCAGTCACACAGGCTTTCTTCTGCATGCAAATAAACTTTCTTCACAATATGAAGTTGACAGAAAACAATTCTGGAATTCTGTGATAATCTTTAGTACCAATTAAGTGCTAAAAACAATCAAAAGCAATGTCTCTTTGAAATTGAGTTTTAAAAATTACTGACTCCCAAAGATTATCAGGAGAAAACGTAAAATTTAAATGTTGAAGTTCTTCCTTAAAGAAATGTCTCATATTAGGATTTTCACTGATATTTCATTCCAAACATAGTATGAAAATGAGTCAAATGAAATTACTGTAGCATTATGGGTGCACTCAGGCTAAGTAAGAGTCATGTAAGTGAGTCATAATTATGTAAAAGTGGTAAACAGAGGGTGAATACAAAACGGTAAGCTAAAATCAATGCTGGGTAACTGGATCATTTGGCTTACAAAAAATGTCATACATAGGTATATATAGAAAGAAAGACAATAGTACAGTTAGTACAGGACATTTCATCCAATAACAATTCATAAGTGTATGAATTTTTTAATTGAAATTAAAACTTCATTTCTTGTAAAGATACCACAAAGAAGATAGAAACACAAACTATAAACTGGGAGAAAATAATCTCAATACATACATTACACGAAAGACTTGCATTTAGAATATACAAAGAAGTATAATAAAGAAATGATGAAAATATCTGAGCGCTTTACAAGACAAGGTACATAAATGGCCCCAAAGTACAAGTGAAGATGCTTTATTTCCTTACTTATTAAAGAGATTCAAGTTAAAACCACAAGATACTACCACAAACTCCTTAGAACAGCAAAAATTGAAAAGACTGATGTTGGTAAAGATGGGGAGCAATGAAAACCTCATAATTTGCTGACAGGAATGTCAGTTGATGCAATGAATTTTGGAAAAACTGACAATTTCTGAAAAACTTTGCTATAGCCCTAACATATGATCTGCCTATTCTATTCCTTAGATTTGCCCACGGGAAAAATTGTCTATGTTTCCACACACATCTGTACATGAACGTTCAAGAAGCTTTAACTTTAAGTCTCAAAGTGGAAAAACCTCAAAGTCCATCAGCAGTTGAATGTCTAAACAAATTATAATTTATACAATGGAATACTACTCAGCAATACAAATGAATGAATGGACATGCATCATAACATGATAAATTTGAGAACTATTTTGATGAGTGAAAGAACCCAGGCACAAAAGATTATGTAGCATACAACTGCATTTGTATGAAATTCTGGAAAACGCAAACTAATGTACAGTGACAGAAAGCTGATTGTTAGCTGGGAATAGATGTTGAAGGAAGAATCTGTTACAAATAAACATGAAGAAATTTTGTGGTGATGAAATATTTGTTATCTTTGTGGAGATGGTTTCACAAGTATATATACTTGCCCAAACTGACTGAATTATACACTTTAAATATGTGCAGTCTGCTGGGATTTCTTTCTTTTTAATTTTGACTTCTATTGGTACATGTTTGCTGTATATAATGATTACATTCACTGTAGGGGTTAGTACCTGCACATCACACATCTCAATTTCCTTCCCCCTTTTTATTTTTCCAGCATCAGATTCATTTATTTATCTTATAATATCTTATGAAAGTAAGCATCATATATACAGATTGATAACCATATTAATAAAAAATGTAAGGCAATTATACTAAGTCAAGGTATACTTTTAGATACTTGTCTACGCTGGATAAGTGTATCATTTTTAAAACAACCTATATTTCCCTGTGTAGTTCAGATACAGACCAGTGAATGTGATGTATTTCAATCATTATGCCAGCCTTTTCCATAGAAGTTGAGAAAAAGTTTCAAAATAAAAAAGATTGCAGCCCATAAGAGCTATGATCAAAAATCTTAAAATATATAGAAAGCTGTGATTTATTTTTTCTTCAATTGCTTGCAGTTTGTAGGACAGAGCTGTACACACACACACACAGCAGTTGGAAAACAAGTCAGTGTGTAATGCACTGTGAGCTGCAGCATGGCGACTCGTGTACACATTGCCTCATGTTTTAAAAAGGGAATGGCTGTTCGATGACATGGTTTTGCTTTATTTTCTCCACAAATAATCCAATGCCAAGTAAAGCTGTGAAAACACAAGCTGGAAATTTCATCATCCTCTAGAGCCAAAATAACCTAAAGCTTATAGTGCTTTTTTCCCTTAACATTTGGTAGAAATTCAAGTGTATATGTAGAAAAATATACCCTGGGTCATGTTATTTGCTTCTGTAAATTCTAGTAATAAAAAATTGATCTCCATTCATGATGAACTGAAGCTCTAACATCCTGAAATCTGTTTTATATATGCTATGTATTTTGTGAAAGACATCCACAGAATCATCACGGAGCTTTAAAACAGCTACTTTGTTTGCAGCGTGTCGGCCGGGCTTCTACAAGGCTGCGGACGGTAACATGAAGTGCGCTAAGTGCCCACCGCACAGCTCCACCAGCGAAGAAGGTTCAGTGAACTGCAGGTGTGAGAATAATTACTTCCGAGCAGACAAAGACCCTCCATCCATGGCTTGTACCCGTGAGTAGTTTTGCTGCAACCCATGCCTCCATGTTGGTTTCTTTCTTCTTGTTACTGTGCTGTTTGTTTTTGGTTTCTCTCTGTCTGTGTGTTCGTAGCATCTGCCCATTTCCTTCCATTGCCCATATGCAAACCAAAAGCTTCTCTGCTTCACTCGTCACGCTTGGCTCACCCAAAATGCAACATCTATCAGACAAAATGAATTAGTTTTTAAAGTACTTCCTGCAATATAGCCCCTAGAAAGAAAAGAAATTTTCTGTATCTTGTTTTAAGACCTTGCATTGCATTTGACAGCATAGAGGAGGCTATAGGCAGGGGATGTGTGTTTTTACATTTTTATTCCCTGTTGCTATCTATTGGTCATAGGTCATAGGGAAAAAGACTAAGATTTATAAAAGGAATACAGAAGTTTTCATAACTATCCTCAAGGGTATTGAATTTAGTGGTAAATTCCTTGCTGGACCTTGTGAACAGATCCTCCATCCTGATTGAAAACTCCCCCCTTTCCTACCTTGGGGAGGACAGTGCTCTTGAATCCATGTGTCTATAATCTCATGGATCCTCTAAGGGTGAGTTAAAAGTAGATAATAAAGACAGGATGGTTATTTACCTCTTTCAGCTCCATTGTAAGTTATCTATTTTTCTTGTAGTAAAACACAGAAGTGAGGCCCATTAATCTTTGTTGAACTACTTTGCAGGACCTCCATCTGCACCAAGAAATGTTATCTCTAATATAAATGAGACCTCGGTTATCCTGGACTGGAGCTGGCCCCTAGACACAGGAGGCCGGAAAGACATTACCTTCAACATCATATGTAAAAAATGTGGGTGGAATGCACAACAGTGTGAGCCCTGCAGCCCAAATGTCCGCTTCCTCCCTCGACAGTTCGGACTCACCAACACCACTGTGACAGTGACAGACCTCCTGGCACACACAAACTACACCTTTGAGATTGATGCAGTTAATGGGGTGTCGGAGCTGAGCTCCCCACCAAGACAGTTTGCTGCAGTCAGCATCACAACTAATCAGGCTGGTGAGTATTTACCGGGTGCCTCTAACTGCTGTGACATAAAACCAACTAATGCTCTTGGTGGAGAAAATAGGAAAGGGAAAAGCGGCGGGGAGAGCATGAGGAAGAAACAGTATTTTCTCTTTTGTCATGTTGAGAGAGTTATAGTGCATTCAATAATTCAGTGTATTTCTTCAAATGAAAATCAACACTAGCTGTGAAGTAATTTTAAACCTACTTTATACCCATTGCTTGCAACATTAAAATCCCTAAACATTTAGGGCTCTGAGATAGTAGCTGTCAGAATCCTTGGAACAATTCTAAATGTTGAAGTATTTATGCACTGAACTTGAGGTTTGAAACGGTTATGTAGAATATTCACATCTATAAGTTTTTATATTATTTACAACTTAATTGTTATATAACTATTCAATTATTTTATGTTCCTAAAAAACCCAAAATATTATAGCCCTAATATTAGTTCTGCTTAGTTAAAGAAAGTAAACTGTTTATTTAATAAGTTTTGTGCTAGTAAATTGAAAATATGGAATAATGAATCATGGTTTTAAAAAGTCTTGTTGGAAAACAATTCAAATATTTAAACTAAAGGCATTCCCTGATGTTTGGTAATTTTACCAACCACATTTTTACTGATAACGATTTACCAATGAGAAGAAAAGTACTATATTGGCAGTTTGTAAGCAAATCTTATTTAATATAAGATAGAAAAAATTTAAAAGCATAAAATTGTCTCATACTTCTTTATGTTATCCCAAACTTTTATTTATTGTTAGTAAATAATATTCACTGATCACAGTAAATCCTCTGTGTAGATTATTTGTCTTTTACTGAGGACTATTTAGTTGCTATCCATATATATATATATGGATTATTATTTACATACCAAAAGTGTTTCTTTGAAATAAGAAAGTCATTTTTCAGTATTGATAATGGGGATGAAGAAACAATATAGTATTCTTTTGTAGTCAATATAGCTTGTGCATTGTTAAACCTATGTTTGTTGCTCATAATAGTTACAGATGTTATAAGTGTGGATATAATCCAAGCAGTTTGATTCAAAGATACTATTTAGTGTGTAAACATCAGCTAAAACATACTTTGGAGCTGAGAAGGTGAGGTGGGAATTGGAAAAAGAAAGGATGCCAATCAGAGAATGCTTGAATGAGTACTCCAGATTCATGTGTATACTCCCAGATGTGTTCACCTATAAATTGGCTGTCGGGACTGAGTGTAAACTAAGCTTCTGATAAGCAGTTGGTGTAAGTGATGAAAGACCTTCTAGCCTCCAGTGGGAATTTCCCTTTGCTCTGAGGATATCCAAATATGCACTGAATGCTGCTGTAGGCAGAGAAAGCAGAGGTGACTAAATTCTTTTATCAGCTGGAAGAGGTTTTCTAATAGTAAAATAATGATCCAAAACCCCACTACAGTTTGTTTCTCTTACTGGGCTGACTTAGGAAGGTTAGTTTACCTACCAACAGCACACAGTTAGTGTCATCTAAAGCTAATATTCAGTAAGTACGCACCAGTATGACATCCTGGTTGCTAATATATTTTATACTGGTAAGCACTCCCACCTACTTTGGCAGATTAGAATAGAAATACACCTACGCTGCTTAATTTTCAAGTATGCTGAGTAATGTCCTAAACTCAGTATCTCAAGTCCAACCTTCACCCTCCCCATAATCCAGCAACCAAAAAGATAGATCTTGAATAGGAGGGGTCTCCATTGTCCTGTACTGGTACCCATCTTCAGACATTCCTGCCCTGTCTTTGCATAGATGTTTTCAATATAACCCTTCTCATGTTCAAATGTATCTCTTTCTGTTTCCAAATTTGTTTTGTTTTCTCTGTGTTTCTGCTCTCATATATTGATGAAAACTTTACATCATCTCATGCTGATAAATATTTGTCGAAGAGTTGTATCTTAAACAACATGTACTGAATCTTTATTCTAATCTTGCTTAATGAACCTGTAATTTTTCCCACTAGCACCTACATCCTAGACCAACTGATATGTGTCATTGCTTTGCTACAGTTAATGATATTTTGACTTTGTAACTAGTGTTATTAAAAATTTGTAACTTAGGTTTATTTAGTTGTCCATGGGAAAAATGAGTAATGCTATTATTACATGTCGCATGATTGTGGTTTTCATATACAACAAACACAAGAATTTAAAGAAATTAAAGTGATGTGGTAAATGGCCTTCACAAATCTTCTACGGTATTTCTAGTTGATTTACTACTTAGCTTAAAATAAGAGCATCAATCTGTGTTACTATTATCTCTTAAACAAAAACATATAAAAACAAGCCAAGGTTCTTTATTTCCTATCCTATCATTTTCCTCTGGCTTACTGACAATGCACTTATCATGAAACTAATACTTCCAAATACATACAGTGAATGAATCTAGGTAAAGTGGCAACCAAAATCAGGCCAAGATCTAAACAAATAAATGAGGGTTGATGCTTGGCCCTCCCTGTTCCACATCACAGCCTAAGACAGAGATTCAGCAGGAATGATCTCAGTTACCTCCCTTAACCCTAATCACATTTTTAAAAAAAATAACAGTTTTGTCTACAATACGTACAACAGACATTTGATATATTTATTTAAGGGTGTCTGTATCATTTTATGTGCCTGGGAAGGTAGAGGTCTTTGTTCTGTCTCCAAATCCCCAGGGTAAGATATATAAGCATGATTAGAAGCAATGCCGTTTCTATTAGGAATGTTTCTTTGTTTTGCTTCATTCTTGTTCTTGTGACGGTTAATGGATGGGTAGCCTTGAAAAATAACCTCCCTACCATGAAAAGGATATGGCTTGTGACAGATATGATGCCAAGCTGTTTAAATTCCTCCTAGTCTGTCTATCTTTGACATGGATAGAAAGGGCAAATGTGAATGTTTCCCTTTTAATTTAGTTTGTGAGATTGAGTTTGTTGATTCTTCTCTTGATTGCATTGTAAAAGCTCTGCAATGACCACAGGATAACACATCTTATAAATTGTAGAGGATTTCATTGTAAATTTAGATATTAAGTCTTCAATACTTGCACAAAGTATGTCAGCAAGATAAAAAGCATGGCTTCTGTATAAAGATTGTATCCATCAATCTGTGAGTCAGACAAGTAACAGAAGACTCAGAGATTGCAAAACAAATGCCTTCCAAGTTACAGCTTAGGGTCAACTGCTACCTTTTGTTTTCTTCCTTAGAATAAGTACATTTACTTGTCACTTCCAGAAGCAATGATTCCCTTGATGGAATACCCATCTCTCCTTTTTCAGAGCCCCTTTATTGAATCTGACTATTTTCACTCTCTTATAGCAGATAATGGTCTCAGGTTAGTCCAAGGTATACTAAAAGAGGATTTATGAAATTCACAGGTCCACCTTTAACCTCCAAGTTTTACAAAAATGAGATCCAAGTTTTACAAAAATTTCACCAGGAGATCAAACTCCTGCTTTGTCTGCCAACTCTGTTCCCACTTCCAATTCCTATTTTCCTTTTCTTTCTATTATTCTAAGTGTTATGACATGAAACTGCAGAGAAGACAGAGAAAAGCTTTGCTGGGAAAACCCATTATAACATGGGCCAGCCACAGTGAACTTGATCCTTTTTCACCCACTATTATAGGTGTCGTGCAGCAGCTCATCCTTATCATCTCCGCCTTCCCAAGACCTAATCTCATATTCACTCCCTCATTCTTTCCAGATAGTTTTCCTAACTTCTAGACACCATAAACATTTAGAGAGCAAAACATTACCTCCTCTTTCTCTGGATCAAATGCTTCCCACCTATACTAGGTCTCACTGGTTTGAGGCTCTGTATGCTGTCACACAAATCTTCCCTCCCTTTCTAGCATCTTTAACAAAGCACCCTATCTCTTCCTTTTTTCTGTTTCAAAGAGTTTTTTTATCCTACAGGAAAATACAAACAGTTAAATAACAGCAGTAGCTACAACACACAGAAATGCATGTGAACATTATACAGTTGTGACCATTTCTTCATGATCTTGTTCTGTATTTTACCTAATATTCAATTCAGGAGTAGACTTTTCATAAAGCTTTCCCCGGTTTTCTCATTCACGCTCCCTCCTTTACACTTCTGTACTCTAATTGCTACTCTCACTCATAAAAAGCCCTCTAGAGAGGACAAGTGATATTCCCTACTGGTATCTATACATCCAGCTAAATGCAGTTGTTGGGACATAAAGATCATGAGGGCCTAGAAGTTGTTTAAATGATCATAACTGTATTTCTAGGATTTAGTCAAGGCTCCTAGCATATGGTAATTATTCATCTTTGTTGGATGAATAAATGATTAAAGAAAATTTATATTATCTCAAAGCTAAGACATGCTGTCCTTGCAACTTGTCCCCACCCTGTTCCTCCTCCTCCATCTTTGCCCTCCTTCTCTCTCTGTGTCCCCACCCAGTCTCTCTCCTAATGTCACTGTCATTTTCCCCAGTTTAATGAATGCTAACCTTAGGAAACATCCTTGGCATACCTACAATGAAGAAGTTCTAGCATGCTAATTGCTCAATTTTTTCTTTTAATCTTTACACATTTTTCTCCCTACTTAGTGTAATAATTTAACATTCCCAGACTCAATATTTAAAAATAGGCAACTATATGAGATTTAATAGTATTCTTTTATATTTATGAAATTCTAAGGTAATATAGAGAACTAAAATATATTGACTTAAATTGAAATATCATCATAATGAGCACATCTCTCCATTGAGATATTTGTAAATCAGGCTAATGGCTTAACCCTTACTTGTATTTGATAATTTTTCTCTTTTGTTCATATACTATGTGACATGCAGATGTTTATAATATAAATACAGATTTTGAAAACATAATAAAAGATAAATTAGAACAATACAGTAGGTATTAAATAAATTAAGAAGCAGTGCTTTCCAATTTAATGAAAAACTTAAAGAAATTTAAAGAAAAAACTCTTGAAATTTTGAAAAATGGAAATACAAATACTGAGT